TGTTATGCGTTACAACAATTTGTCCCATTAATTCTCCAATTACATATTCCAGTTTAGAATTTCAGTTCAAGAATTTCGGTAATTTTGGTGTGTGTTCTCTAACAGACTAAAATGAGCACATCATTGAATTTGTCCCTTTTTCCTTAAATCAATTTCTTTCCGCTTTTCGGATAACATTCAAATTTGCAACGTAGGAAAAGTTCACAAGTACCTAATATCCGACTGATGAGTCTGGTCTTATATTAGACGCAATGCAAGGTGCGTGTGTTGAGTGGGTACTGAAATATAATTAGGATCTACTATAAATATCCTTTAATGTTAACTTAACAGTTTTGCTGAATGAGGTTCTAGCTCGAATACATTCGCACAGATGGCGGCCTAATACTAAAATATCTCAACAGGTGACGCTAACCCGAAATATTAAGTTCAGTTAGTTAATTAATAGATGGCGCCAGCGTAAACTGTGCGAAAGAGTCGACACGTGTATGCGTTGAACAGCAGTCGAAGAGACATGCGCATGCAAAAGGACAAGTATATTCGTGTTGGCGCAAACAAGTTGTATTTAAAAGGATATACAAAGTTTATACCTACTGAACTTTTATGATAACGTAAATATTTTTTTTTTTTTTTTTTTTTTTGAAAATCTTTATTATATTAACAGATAATATGAGTTTTTTTTTTTTTTAAACATGTACATGCTTCAAAATTTGCATTTAACAATGTTTGTTTCTTAGTTTATTTTCTCCTGCTCTACATAAGGTTAAGGCTAAGCTGTCTTCTTAAGAATTGTTTTTAATTGTTTTGTAAAAGACCGAAGTGTCTTTTCTTCAGTCTATTTATAGGAATAGATCCGACAAGGGCTTGTGCAGATCTGTTTTGGTGGTTTATCAGTCTTTCGTTATAGCGACTGGAGTAGAAAGAGATCTGATCTTCTATTAGCGTAATATTCAGATCTCTGTGGATAACGTAAATATGACTAACTGAAATAGTTTTGATAGGCTCATCAATTACTTAAGCTAGCATCAGCTTGAATTTGAGTATTGTATACATCCCAATCAAGTTTGCCACCATCGGTATATTAATGATTTTTGAACCAACTCAAACACGCCGACCAAAATGAACTAAAAGTTTCATCTCTAGCATTTGGCATATCAGCTGTTCATACGTCTAACCTCAAAAAACATTAATAGATTTTCTTGTGGCGCTTTTTTGCAGCTTGGACTACTCTTTCCACTATGACCAACAACGAAACAGAGACTGCTGGCTCAAGCCGAGCGAGTAGTGGTGCCTCCGCATCTTCTGCCGCCAAGGTGGAGATCACAGAAAAGGTGCGAGTTCTTTGCCTGCACGGATACCGCCAAGATGGTTCGTACTACTGAATTTTTGAAACAATACATTTAAACATATTACTTGAAATTGAAGCGGATTCATTCAAAAACAAATTGGGTTCGTTTCGCAAGTTTGCCGGGAAGTATGCCGAGTTTGTGTTTATCTCAGCGCCTCACGTAGCTGCGCCACTAGAACCATCGGCAGAGCCAGTGGAGCAACAGCGCAGCTGGTGGGCCAACAAAGATGATGGCACATTTAAAGGCACCAACAAAAGTGGACCGGCGTTCGGATTCCAAGAGAGCTTACGCGTCGTCGAAGATGCTTGGAAGTCACAGGGACCATTCCAAGGGCTCCTGGGATTTTCCCAAGGCGCATGTTTTGTGGGACTGATATGTGGTCTGGCCAAAAAGAAATGTAAGTGTTCTATTCTTGGCTTAGCCATTTACTGACATCCTCTGCTTTCCAACCAGTAACCTCTATTCGACCCGAATTTGCTGTGCTTAGCTCCGGTTTCATATCTGGCAGTCTTGTGCATATGAGTGCCTACGAGGAACGCATCACAATTCCCACCCTTCACGTTTACGGGTTGACGGATGAAATCATTCCCAAGGATATGAGCGAGTCGCTGGCAGCTCACTTTAAGAACGTAGAAGTGCTCGAACATAGTGGAGGCCATTATTTTCCGGCCACTGCGCAGCAGAAACAAACGTACGTTAATTTTTTCCAGGACCGTCTTCAAGAGTATTTGGAGCACTTGGAGCTGCAGCAAAGCAGCAACGCCTCATTCATCGATAGCGCCGAGGAGGACGAGGGAGCTGTGACGGATGCTAACGATGCAGAAGTGGCAGCTGTGACGGCAGCCGCCGGTTCCGGAATGGATGATAGTGATTAGTAATGTAGATTTTCTTTTTCCTTTTTAATAATAATTAAATCTTATTATTACAATAATAATAATAATAATCATAATTTGATTATAAATTATAATAAATTTAAATCCCAATATTTTAAATTATTCACCGTTTGCTCAATTATCATCAATTGCCATTTTTATAAGCTATTTCAAGTGTGACTTTCATTTCATAAATTTTCATTAAAATTTTGTGTAGTATATCTATTTTTTTCTTAAACAAATTCGTACAAATTCCTTAAGAAACAAACAAATAGTTAATTTTAAATATATAGGATTATCAAATCCCATCTCAAATTATAATTTTGAATCATATTATTTAAATTGTTCCTTGCTATAACCAACGAAAAAAATGCATACATAATTAGCTATTGTTGCTGTTGCTGTTTTTTGACCAGGCAGAGTAGAAATTGTAGTACAATTCAAAACATTTAGCATTGCATCGAGAGAGTTGACTGTGGGGGACAAGCGAGCAATAGTAATTTTGACTCTCAGCATTAGGTTTGTCTCGCATGCGACAGCAGCAGCAGCGGCTGTGAATCCAAGTGGTAGCTGCTGTTGTTATTGTTGATGATGTTATTGTTGTTGTTGTTGCTGTTGTTGTTGATTTTAATGCTTCTTTTCACTTTATGCGACTTGCTCCTGTCCATTTGAGGCCTCTTGATTCTTCATCACTTCTGGTAAGTCGGGCGGTGCGGAATATGGGGTGATATCAAGCGTCTCAAAATCACCCATTTCGTTCCTGCGAGCATAGAAAGAGCATTAAATAAGTGTAAACAGAAACAACAACTACGGACACGTGCGGCGCTATGAGAATCAAATGATAACATACATACTAGAGCTGGACTCGTGTCGTGTTGTCTTTTGTGACACAACAATGCAGGACTAAGCACGTGTCGCGTAAGATAGAACTTACGTTGATATTTAAACTGGACAATACTTTTACTTAATTTAAAAAAAAAATGCTGATTCATTAACTTTAAAGCAGATAGCAAACCAATTAAAGAAGGTACAAGGGGTAAGAAAAAGTAAACATTGGTAAAAGTCGTGCGAGTCGTGTTAAGTTTATGATATATTTGAACATGTTTGTGATTCGTGTTGGTATCGTGTCGTGTTAGAAAAATCAAACACGCGTCCATCTCTTATATGTACATAGAACAAAAAACAACAACGGTAGGCGCTTATCAGCGTGACTCAAAGGGCGGCTTTCATAACGGCAACTGGAATAACAGGGAATGGGCATCAATCGTAGCTCACCTGCATGTTAAGCCCAACTGTGCTGGGGCTTGAGCCTTTGCCGTTGATACCGTAACACCGTAGTCCTGCAACGTTTGTTCATCTTCCATGACATCGTTGTCCTGATTGTATAACCGCTGATCGCTAGGTGACACTTTCAAAATGCCTGCCAATGATTATAAAATTACTTAATAATCAAAAATGTGATCTATAAATAGGAATAACACTTAAACACATACGCACACGCACCCACACAGACGGACACACACACACACACACACACACGCGAATACAGAGCAAAGAGAAATACATGAGTATGCATATTGGTACACTTACCTTCGATCATGCGTTTCAGTTCAACAACTGATGTGTTCTCCTTAGCATCCGTAAAGATGGTTGTCTTATGCCTTCTGATCATGAGGAACACGTCCTGTAAGAAAGTAGTAACAATGTTTTCGGTCAAAGTTCATTGCAACAACAGCAGCGATGACGACGGCGACGTTGCGCGGCTTTTGCTTATTCACCGTGCTCACGACCCTGTGTGTGTTGGTGTGTGTGTGTATGTGTGGGTGTGTGTGTGTCTGCATTAATGACGCGCAAGTTGCCCAGCATCAACACATCGTCCTGAGCTGCGCCGGAGGCCGGCTACGCGTGCTTACCATATTTGCAAGATTGTTGTCGTGCGTTGCCTTTTGTTAACCACTGCCAAGGGGTTTGAAGGTTGTGCTTTAACACAGAATTTGTTATTGTCGTTGCCTACTACGGCTACTTCTGCTACTGGCGTGGGCGGGCGGGGGCGCTTCCTTTGGCGGTCGTCGAGTCGGTCGATCGTTTCTGCTTACACCATCAGCCAGTACACGCTGGATGTGAAAGCGATGTGGGAGCGTTGGGTATGCGACTGCGGTGATGCCAACTTTTGTGAGTGTTTGGGCGTTCAACAGCCTAGCTGATTGCATGCACTTGTAAGTTTTCGTAGATTTTTACGATTTTTAATGTAAATTTTTTTTGGCGAAGCAAGACCGAATGCCAGCCCTGCCAACTTAACAGCATATGCAAGTGGGCAGCTCTAATGCTTTTTGTGTCGTCAGAACTTATGTTAGTTAACAGTCTGTTAGCAATGCTGGGTGACATTCCATAAAATATTGTACTAAATAAGCCACAGCACACAACTCACCTTACGCTAGCTCTAATATCTGCCACGAAATGGTTTTGCTCGACAATTCCAACGTAAATAAATCCATTTACATAAAAATTCTCAATAACGCTGCATTTATTTACAGTTTATTCTGCGCCTGGAGAAGATTGCCAATGAGGCCAAAGACAATTCTTCCTTCACGATAACATTTAAACGATGTAAGTAGCAAGTCTGCCCGCATGCGACTTTCCTAATTAAAATGCGTTTTTATTTTTTTTATTAAAACGCACAGATGATGGGCATGATCGGCCTGTGCCGCGAGCAGAAAAAAAACCTCTGCCCAAACCAGAAACATACATGTGCCTGATGCGTGCCCAATTCAAGTCCAAAAAGGTAAACAAAGCATTTTATTAATATATTCTGCTTCTTAACAGTTCACTTGTATGTCAAATAACAGATTTCCACAGTGGTTCGCCAGGGAGACGTTCCCACAATGATGGCGATGTACTCACAATTTATGAAGAGCAAAATGGATGGTCTTAAGCGTGTAAAGAAAGTGAAAAGCAAGGCCAAGGCAACCAAGGCATAGTGCAAGTTTGGAGACGGCGGCGTTAAAATTAGTTAAAGCTTTTAGTTACCTACCAATACCCGATTGCGTTAACTTGTAAATTAAAATTTTTACGGTACTTCTGGGTGTCAATTATTGTGATTAATCGTTGGCTAACAACTTATCCTTCTGAACGCACAGATTGAGCAAACACTTTGGTAATTTGTCTAATCGTAATCCGTACAAATATTTGGGCCTTATAAGCTGCACCAGAGCATAAATATACTCTCTTTGTGCCAGTGCTTCATCGTCCTCGGACATATAGCATATGTCGTCAATATACATGACATCGATGCCGTTGCCAAGTGCAAGATGGAAGGATGCACCAGCCTTTGGTATGAAATCTAAATAGCCGGTCAAATTGTCAGCTATAAGAGCACTGATGTAGTCATCTGAAGAACAAGACATTGTAGATTATATGTGTTATTTATATATATGTATGTGGGGCACCAACTTTTCAAATAATATAAGGTGGCATTTTCATTGGCCTCGTTCTGTCCAGCTGGTATCAAAGTCAGCATGATCTTGGTTTTGTCGTATACAATTTCGGTTGGTTCGTTGGGCTTAAGAGCATCGTATTTATAGCTTTGATTCGATTTCGGTAATACGCTTTGGAAACGAGCAACATCATCTGCTGAGCCGATAATGCGCCCACACCAATTTGAAGGAACTCTGTGATCCTGGAACGCGACTGATGTTAACAGCATCGGTCCATTATGCTAAGTAGTTATAAATATAATTATTAATATTCAAACATATCTATCATATTACTTACTTGCTCATAAGGTCCATATGTTTTATGAGGATTTAATATTAAAGGCTGTCCAATATCATTTAAAAACATTTTTTGTACAGGAAACCAAACAAATTGTTAGACTAGTTTTGACGCAAAATTACCTGTAAATTTACATGGGCAAATTATTACCAGAGCAATTTGCGTTGGTAAGCGCATTTCTGCGTAATTAACGCGCCATTTTCAAAATAATAAATAGATGTGTCCCAAATATCGAATACAAATAAATTATATATATTATACTAGCGGGTATAACCCGGCCTTGCCCGTGGCACGTATGTTATAAAATCAATGTTTTCAAAAAGCTTTGAAACTGATCGGACGGGAATCAAACAAACTTAAAATTCACCAAAAAAAAACATTGAAATGCATTTTCCACCGAAGGAGTTTAGATTTTGCGAAAAATATGAAACACGTCTCAAATTATTTTTCTTATAGATCTTTGGAAATAAATTTGAACACAAAACGTCACCCACCAAATTTTTGACCCCCCTTTCCACCAAGGAGGGATGCATTTTCCAAAAAGTGCGAAACACCCCTCAAATGAATTTGAACATAGATCTTTGAAAATGAGTTTGGGGCCGATCGGATGGTAAACAAAAAACTTTTATACAACCGTTTTCCGCCAATTTACTACTGTTGCGGGTGGAATTTCCCAATTCGCTGAAATACTTATTTATTAAGTTCTTATGTAGAGCTTTGAAAATAAGTTTGAAGCAAATCGGACACAACTTAAAACTTCGCCCAAAAAATCTTTGAATCGCATTCCCCCCGAAGAAGTTTGAATTCTGCGAAACGTAAAAAACACGTCTCAAATGAATTTTCATATAGATACTTGGAAATAAATTTGAGGGCAAAACGTCACCCACCAAATTTTTGACCCCCCTTTCCACCAAGGAGGGATGCATTTTCCAAAAAGTGCGTAACACCCCTCAAATGAATTTGAACAAAGACCTTTGAAAATAAATTTGAGGTCGATCGGATGGTAAACAAAAAAGTTACATACAAACGTTTTTCGCGATTTTTCCACACTTGCGGGTGGAATTTCCCGAAACCCCGTCTTAAAGTGCAGCTACATCACATAAGGTAACTACACTGAAAATTTCAGCTTCCTAGCTGTTACGGTTTGGGCTGTGCGTTGATCACCAATCAGTCAGTCAGTCAGTCAGTCAGTCAGGACAAACAGTTTTATATATAGAGATATATCAAATTTGAAATTTTGATCCAACTCATCTAAACAAAACAATGCATATAATATTATATGCACATTTACATATACTATTTTTTTCTGTGTCATCCCATTAAGACTTCTTTTTATGTTTGGCACAAGCCAAGTATGCACTTTTAGTAGCGTTTTATCCTGGTCCAGGATTTTGTTTTAAATATACAAACATAATGTTAGTTTTATCACAATGAATATTATATTTTTTGTGTTTGGTTGTCTTGTATATGCATGTGCTGTGTCTTTGTCATCAAGATCTGTCTACAAACATGACAATATATTATGCTTACACTTAAAACGAAACAAATTTTGTAGCATACGTTAATTTCCTTCTTTCTGTTTCTTGCTTTTGCTTGTTTTTTAGAACAAAGACAGTCTTTTACAACATTTTATGAGAATATTAGTTGCGTTCATAAAATTTATCCATTTGCTATTAAATATTGCATGTCGTTTGGCAATTGCTGAGCGAGTGTGCGTTCTTGTGGACGAAAACGGTCACGAATATGAGTGAACGGGGACAAGAAAAAAAATTGGGATGGTATTGCCCACTACAAAAAAGCTGCTTTACAATGCAAATGACTAAAACGTACAAAACGCACCCATTGAAAGAAATCAAAATTATAAACTAAAAACTCAAAATTTAAATTAATATGATTAAATAATAATAAAGATAACAATTATGCAAAAGTGTTCAAATTTAGTTGAACGTATTGTAGCGCAAATTGCTGTCAACGTCGCCAACGTTGCCGCCAAAGCTTCCGGAATTGGACGGCTGCTCGGCCATGAGATCCGTGCTTGACTGCGAGTACCGACGCCACCTGGGCCATGGCCACGCATCGCGTATGCTGTCGATCAAACGCTGCTGGAATGTCTTGTATTCCATATCCACCGACTGTGTATCACCAAAATTAAAATCAGCCACCTCTACCGTAAATCTGAAGGCATACAAAATCAGTTACTCGTTGCGACTACGATTCGGATATTGGGAACTTACCGATTACGGCTCTGCATGTAATACGCCACTCCGAAAATGACCAGGCAAACGGCTACCAGCGTGCAGGCAATAGGCACAACTACAACCGATAGCTGCGATTGTCGTTTAGCTGTTGGAAGAGTGGAAAACACGCATTAAAAAAACAAACTCTTAAAAGTGAACTAAATCTTTGTTAATAGATTTCTAGGTGCTTTGCCAACCTTCATAGATGTTAATAGTAACTTGATTTACACTCTCAGAGACTTCGTTGCGAATAAAAAACAGAATCGTCTTGCTATCCGCGAAATAGCGCGCAAAGATGAAATCGCAATTGTCGTACATATCATAGCTGCTGCACGTTTCGTTGCCTGTTGCATTATACGGCGCTAAAGTTTGGTAATAAGTTAAATAAGGCACTAAATTGGACAATTTATACGTTTGGATACGCACCATTGTAATACTGAATGCACACCTCAAAAGGCGCTGAGCCTTTGCAGGTGATTTGTAGATTGATCAGCTCCCAATGCTGCAGCCAGTTCTTGCCGCTCGTACCAAAGCTGGAGATGGGCGCTGAAGAAATTAATCTTTTTTAATAATGTTGAATTGCTTTCAAATTTGATCGATCACTTACTCTTAGAAACAATACGCCGCTGAAAATAGCCATAGGTATTGTTTGGATCCTGGGCAACAATGTTGCCGTCAACACAATTGTAAGCTGGTGCCGGGACGGGCAGCAGCTTTAGCTTGCGCACGCCCAAAGGATTCAAAAGAGCCATGGATGCGTTTCCACTGTTGTTTTGCTTCAGCAGCTCCTGCTGTACAGCGGCTGCCAGGTTCAGTCCAAGCAGCTTAGCATTTGCGTGCATGGTTTGGTTAAGGTCACGTTTAAGTCGACTCAACTTTGGTGCTTTTGTGGTTGTAGTTGTTGTTGGTGTTGTTGTTGTTGTAACGGGCGTTGTGGAAGTTGACGTTGTAGTTGCGGGCGTGGTGCTTGTAGTGCTCGTTGTTGTGGTTGTTGTTGTTGTTGTTGTGGTTGTTGTTGTTGTTGTGGATGTTGTTGGCTCTGGCAGCGGAAAAGGTGATGCCACCACCAGCGCCTCAACATTATAGTATTGATCGGGATCGGGATATATTGCTTGATAGTCGTAGGCATGCGACATGCCCAGATATGTACAGTTTTCGAACCAGTACGTATTTATGTAGTAATCATTACTTTTCAAATACTCCAAATCTGCTGGCCATAGTTCAATGCTATGATCTACTGGATACTGGGTGGACACAAAATCCTGTGTGCGCACCTTTTTATCCTGTATAAGCTGCAGACTGCCGCTGAGTGTGTTGACCACTGTGAGGGCAACTGCATTCTCAGCCAACGGAAACCACACTATAAACTTCTTCTCCGACACACTCACTTCTAAACGATGGCGTCCCAAATTTGTGTCGTCCCTTGTGTATTTTAAACTCCAATTGCTGATTGGTTCGCTCGTCTCAATTTCCTGCATATCAGCAAAAGCAAGTTAAATACGTAATTAGTCATTCGTTTATATATATGGGCGCAGCGTTTAATTAGGTAGTTTAAAATAGCATCTGTGACGCGGACTAATCACAAAACCTTACTATGTATAGTTAGAGGCAAATACTTTTGTATAAATCAGTCGCCTTTTGTACTTCTTTTAATTGTATGCCGTAACAAGAGTACAGTTTACAATTACTGTTGCAATATATATAGAAAAATAGATTTTATATATTACATGACCCATATACACAATTGAAATTGCCGCATGTTAATAGAAAATTTAACAAAGGAAAAAATTGACCTGCCAGCTTCGCGAATCTTCTTAATTTACAGAACATGACCAATTCAGAATACCCTAATGTAGTGTAACTAAACGTGCCAGGCACGGCTATTAAGCGACATCAAATGATTGTAAAAATTTGCATTGCAAATTTGATATCGAGTACATACAAATTCAATGGAAGCGGTATCTAAAATTAACTCTGTAAATGTATATTATTATCAAATTGACTTATACAACATTTGAAATGAGCTTTAAATATGGAAATTGTTTGTTGTTGGTGATGAATGCGCATTTAACAATTCCAGCTTTAGCATTCTTATCATAAAATTGAATTGGGACGTTGTACGTAGGGAATGTTCGCTGCAGAGACTTCGCATGTGTACATTTAATTGGTCATAGTAATAATATGGTGCGTATGAACATATATGCGCTCTGTGTCAACCGTTGCTCTTTTCTATAAGGCAAGCGTCGCTTTCTTTTTGCACCGTATTTACCTTCATTTGGCCAGCACTGTCCTTCCAGGTGAAGCTATAGGTGCCTTTGCTGGCAATTTTACTGCCATCATATAATGTAGCGCTCACATTCATCGTGGAGCCGATGAGCGCATGTTGTGGGGCCGTTATAACAACATGTTCACAATTAACTAAAATACGAATAGTTGAAAATTATTCATTTTGCACGAATCAATACCCGATTGGCATCGATGTTTGTTCTTACCTCTATGCAATAAGGCGTACAGCACTAGAGTTAACGCTAGCAGTGTGCTGCTAATGCTATGCATTTTTGCAAAGCAACAAATTGGCGTCTGGTATTTCCGACTACGCTTATTATGAAAAATCACTTTTACAGTGCACCTGCACCCCCGCCCCTATTGACAAACAAAAAAACACACATACACACAGAAAGTTCCGAATTGTTTTAAAGAGTACCATACAAAAACTTTCGAAATGTATACAACAAGCTGAACACTTTTAATTGCTTTATAGTTGTTAATAATTCTAATGATTGACTACATTAATTATTTGCAATACAATAATTGCGTTTTCGTTTATTTGATAGAACTGCAAGTTAGAGTTGTCAAGTCGTTCGATACAAGCGC